AACCACTGAGCCAGATCCCCCAGAACTTTTTTGTAGTTTATTTAGAGACAGGGTTTCACTGAGTTGCTTAATGCCTCACTGTTGCTGAGGCTGGCATTGAATTCAGATCCTCCTGCCTCAACCTTCCAAGCTCTGGGATTTCAGGCATGCAAGAGCTTGTTGGCTACTTTTATCTTACTTGTAGAACCGTCTTTTCAAATCTTTTGTCCATTTTTATTGTATTATCTGTTATTTTATTATTAAGTTGTAATAGCTCCTTATATATTCTAAATACAAGTCCCTAATCAGGTATATGATTTGTGAAAATTTTCTCCCATTCTGTGGGTTGTCTTTTCATTTCTTTCTCCTGATCCCCCAGTGCTGGGGATTGAACTCAGATAAGCTATCACTGAGTTACAGTACTAGCCCATTTTATTTTTTGTTGGTTAGTTGGTTGGTTTTGGTATTGGGGATTGAATCCAGGGATGCTTTACCACTTAGCTACATTCGTAGGCCTTTTTTATTTTTTATTTTGAGACAGGGTCTCACTAAGTTGCTTAGGTCCTCACTAATTTACTGAGGCTGGTCTTGAACTTGCAATTCTTCTGCTCAGCCTCTTGAGTTGTTGGGAGTGTGCACCACCATGCCCTGCTCTTTTCATGTTCTTTTTTTTTTTTTTAACCTGTAGATGGACAGCATGCCTTCTTTATATTTGTCTATTTTTTTTTAATGAGGTGCTAAGGATTGAGCCCAGTGTCTCAAACACTCTGCCACTGAGCCACAACCCCTGCCCAGCCCTTTTTTCACACTTATGTCCTTTTAAGTACAAAACTTTTAAATATACAACTTTTCTTTTTTCTTTGTTTTTATTTTTGTTATTTTGCTTTATGCATCTTAACTAAGAAACTATTGCCTAATCCAAGGTCATGAGAACTTAATCCTATGTTTCTTCTGGGTATAATAGTTTTGGTTCCTACATTTAAGTCTTAGATTCATATGGAATTAATTTTTATATAGTGTGAGAAAGGGATCCAATTTCATTCTTTTGATTATGGCTATCCAGTTATCTCAGCATCATTTGTTGACCAAACTATTCTTTCCTATTGAATTGTGTTGGTACACTTGTTGAAAAGTCAATTTCATGATGAATTTTCTTTTTTTTTTTTTCCCTCACACTGGGAATGGAACCCAGGGTATTCTACTACTGAACTACATTCCCAGCACCCGCCTTTTCTTTTAATCTTGAGACAGGGTCTCACCAAGTTACTGAGACTGGCCTCAAATTTACAATCCTTTTGCCTCAGCCTCCCAAGTCACTGGAATTACAGGTGTGTACTATCACACTTGGCTCATGATGAATTTTCTAAATAGTGTACTTTCGAATAAGGGAAATATTCACTTTCAATTATTTCTGCAGCATGCAAGTGTTCAGTCAATATTGAAAATGGCAGAAAGACAGATATAGAGCAGCATATGCTAACAGCTAAGCATGAAAGATATGGGATTCCTTCAACTTGTACCAAAGGAAAACATAAAAACATTTTTTTTTCTTGTACCAGGGATTGAACCCAGGAGCACTTAACCACTGAGCCACATCCCCAGCACTTTTTATATTTTATTTAGAGACAGGGTCTTGCTGAGTTGCTTAGCCTCACTAAATTGATGAGGCTAGCTTTGAACTCATGATCCTCCTGCCTCAGCCTCCCAAGCCACTGAGATTACAGATGTGCACCACTGCACCCAGCCTAAAACAACAAAATTTTTATTGAGATTCCAATGAAGGTAAAATAATCACAGCAGAAGTTGTAATGGCTTCCCACATTATTCTTGTCATCAGTCTTTTGGCTCAAACAATCCTTTGAAAGCACTGTTACCAGAAGTTTGTTGTTTATTTGTTTTGGGGGACTGGGTCTTGAACCCAGGGGCCTTAACCACTGAGCCACATCCCCAGCCCTTTTTATTTTTTATTTTGAAACAGGGTCTCACTAAGTTGCTTGAGGCCTCACTAATTTACTAAGGCTGGCTTTTGAACTTGGAATCCTCCTGCCTCAGCCTACTGAGCCCCTGAGATTACAGGTGTGCATCACTGCATCCAGCAACCAGAAGTACTTTCTATTTCCAAAACTACAAGCAAATTTTCAGATGCCAGGACAAAATATATTGCAGTAATGAAAACTGTAATAACTACATTCACTGCTGCAGTTAATTATAAAGCTCTAAATGTCTCACCCTTTTTATAGAATAGCCAAAGATACAAGTAATCACAATGCAGAAAAATTGCCCCTTATACAATATCTTTCTTATGAAAAAGACTTGCTTGTAAGACTATTTTGAGCAAAATTCCTTACAGATGAGATTTCAGAAACAAGAGA